CTGTAAACTCAGTCACCTTTAATCCTTCAAAGAACCCTTTACTGCTTCTGTTTTCCTAACTCAGTCATATGCAAATATCATCTCACCACAGGAAGCCCTTTCCAATTCTCCCTCAGAACCACCCCCTCCAGCTTTCCTCTCCTCTCTCCCCAGCCTGTTCAGAAAAGTTTCCCGCAATCACTCTCTTCCTCTTGCAACACTATCCTAAAATTAAAAACACCACCTGCCTTCTCTAATCACATCAGCAGCCCCAAACAAAAACACACAGGTAAATTCACCACACCTCCTTGCTCCTGCTTTCCCCATTCATGTGTCAGCTCAGGCAAGCCCCTCCCCCGTCCCACTCCGGGCAAGTTTCCAGAGCAGAGAAAAATGCCAAAGTGAAAAGCAAGCAAGTTCTCATTGCTGCCCACAGCATAGAGGGAGAAAAAGCTAGAAACTACCTCCAAACACCCCACTCGCCTCCTAACACCCTATTTGAGACCTGGCAGGCCTTTGAAGTCCCAATGCCCGAGAAGAATAGACAGAAAAAACTCATACCTGACAGCGAATCTAACAGACAGAAAAAACTCGTACCTGCTAGTGGATCTGCAAATATAACTGCCTTACAGCTGTGGTGATAGGTTGGGAAACCCCTGCTCCTTACCTCCGGGTACTTGCTTCAAGTGTGAAAAAGAAGGCCAGTGGGGTTAGCAACTACACTAACCCTCGCCCTCAAAAACAGAACCTGCTAACACAGCCTTGTCCTATCTGTGGAGCACCGGGCCATTAGAATACAGGCTTCTGTTGTAGGCAAAGTCCCTGGGAGAATAGCCGATTCAGCAGACCCAGTTCCCACCCTGGCTGATCTCTTAGGCCTGGCCACTGAACACTGAAGATGCCAAGGTTCAATAACCCTCACCACTCCTGCTAAGCTCCCAAGGTAACCCTTCAGGTACTAGGTAAACCTGTTTCCTTTCTGGTTAACATGAGAGCTACCTGTTCAGTACTCCCTTCTATTTCGGGTTCTGTTTTCCCGACCCAGGGCTCAGTAATAGGGATTGATAGCCTTCCCTTCAAGCCTCTTACCACTCACCAGGCATTGTCAACCCTATAATAAGAGTATCTTTCCACTCTGACTGTAACCTCTCACTACCAACCTGTTTTCGTTACTCTAAAACAAACAAACAAACAAAACCCCAAACTCCTCTTTTCTTGCTGGACCCCAATTCCATGTCTCTGCATAACACTGCAGAACCCATCATTACTTGCCAACTTTCCAATAAACTTCTTACCCCTAAATAAATGATAAATCTTTTGCTGTGCAGTCCCTCCTACCAACTCTCACAAACCCACACTGCTCAAACGTATTAGCCTCTAAAGGATATAGAGTATCCCCTTCCAAGGCTCAGCTGTCTCTCCTCAGAGTCACATCTATCAGCTTTCAATTATCTTCCACCACTAGAAGTCTAACAGTCAATCGGTACATAGCTATTGAAAGCCTCAAGCCTCTCTAAACTGTTGATCAAATCCTCTCCTTTCTCAACTTTATTAGTGTCCTCTGACACTGAATCCTCAATTTTTCTTTACTTGCAAAGCCTTTCTCAAACTCCAATATTTCCTTCTACAGTTCCCTCCCCTTACTTTACCATATTCCTCTAAACCTTTCCACTTGTTCACTGATGAAAATGAAGTTTGCTGTCAGTGTTTTAGGTCAATCTCTTGGACCCACCTTCACCCACTGCATACCTATCTAAACAGCTTGGTGTTACTACACAGGGGTGGCAACCTTGCTTACAAGCTCTAGCAGTTGCAGCTATTCTCACTAAAGAAGCGCTTAAACTCACCTTATAAAGCCCCCTACAAGTCTTCTCAAGCCACTGACTTTGAGATCTACTTTCACATCATTTTCTATCCTTATAGCCTCCTAGGAAGATACAGAAACTCTGCCTACTTTTCCTCAAAACCCCTGATATTTGCTTCTCTCAATCACCATCCTCAATCCAGCCATCCCACTTCCAGTAAATACTTCAACATTTTTTTTTCACTCACAGCTGTCCAGAAGTCCTCGAAGACATGAACTCTCTACTTCCCTCTTTATCTGACCAACATATCCCAAAGCCAGTCCATACTCCGTAGAGGACAGCTCTTGTATAACCTCTCAATGTCACCATCAGGCAGCCTATGCTGTAGTTTCCATTAACAAGGTGTGGAAAGCAGCAAAACTTCCTGAGGGCACAAGCTCACAAAAGGCAGAGCTTATTGCCCTAACAAGAGCCCAACATCTAGCTAGAGGACTGACAGTCAACATTTACACACATTCTAAATATGCCTTTTACAGCTCATTACTACTCTGCTATCTAGCACAGGCAAAGCTTTAAAACAGCAAAGCAGACCATATAGCAAAAACTTTAGCCTTGCAAGAACAACAACATCCAGGCCACACCTCCCACACACATCAACTCCGAGGCCACATGCCTGAACAGAATTAACAAGTTAATTTCACAGATACACCAACAAAAAATATAAGTATCTCCTATCAATAGTAAATACCTTCTCCGAATAAGTTAAAGACTTCCCCACCTGGGCAAGAAACAGCAGATAAAGTCACTGAAGCCTTACTCCAGCATATCATCCCCAGTTTTGGCCTCCCTACTTCAGAAGAGACAATGGTCCTGGCTTCATCTCCAAAGTCATCCAGCAAGTATCCTCTAGTTTAAGTATCTGCCAAAAGCTGTACATACCATATCACTCCCCAGTCTTCAGACAAAATAAAGCACATAGACTCATTAAGCCTAATCTTACTTAATTGTCAAGTTACACAAGTCTTAAGTTAACTTACTTCCTATTGCCTTAGCCTGTATCTGAACAACACTCTGCTCACCATCCTTTCTAAACCCCTTCCAACTGATGTATAGCCAATTACTTCTGCTAAACCATAACTTGCTCACCAAACCCCTTCTTTTAGCATCATGCCTTGTCTCACCCTCCTTAAACAATTACTCTGAAAACACTCAGACCGCCACTGCATACCCAGACCCTCTTCTAAAAATCTGGACCAATTTCTAGCCTAAATTCTTCCCTCTCCAAGACCAATAGTAATCATAAACATACTGTTATTAATCGCTCCATGTCTCTTTAATTTTAATTCATAGGATCAAGGAGATGACCAACTTAATTTTCCCCTGCCCACTAATCCTGGACTGACTCACCCCCAGATCTTCACCCTTGTTCAGCAGGAAGTAGTCAAAGAAAGATACATCACCCTGTTTTATCACTAAAGAGGCTGAGATGTTAAGTCTGGGCAAAGGAGGCCAAATAAAAGAATGAAGCATTCAGAACTCAAATGCTGATGGCCTTACCTGCTGCTGATAAGAAGAGCAAATGGCCTTGCCTGCCTGGCTGAGCTAGCAGGTGGATCATAAATCAGAGTGGAATGTTCCTCCCTAAAGACTCTGTTTATAAAAATCCTCACCAGTAAGTTCACAGTGTGACTTCCCATTCTGCATCTCCAGAATGAAGAACTCACCTGGAAGCTCCCTCTCCCCCTTTGATAAAGCTGTATTATGCTTTCTCTTGTTCTCTCTGATTTCTTCTTTAAATCTGCTAACTCAACACCTGCTACACTGATTGAACATGCTAGAGCCCAGCAGAAAACTGCACATCCTTCAGAGTACCATGAGGAGACACCTCTAGATCCAGACTAGGCCCGGGGTCAGCAGCCAAACCTGACTAAATTTACAGTTCAATCAGTGGATGTGGAATTTACTCTAATTCCTGAACCCAACCCAGAGATTAAACTTTCTCTAA